AAAATAGGAGTAGCTGTATTCTGTTACAGTTACAGTTTAAAAAGGTGGTGTTCAGAATACAGTAACTTTGTTGAAATAAATGGATTACACTGCAATTTTTTCCTGTTTCATATATCAGGCTATGCCCTCTCTATTTTTGGTAATTCCACGCCGGTGGAAACCCAAACAAAACACGCATTGAGGCTCTAAAGCCTGTGTCTCAATCTCGTGGCCTATATCACCCCTACTTGCAGCCCGCATAATGACGTGACGAAATTATTGTTCAAAAAATTATTTAATATGAAGGCAGTGTAGCCCAGTTGTAAGTAAGCTATTAAGACTCAACTGTACACTTTTTTCGTGTTTTTCTCTGAAACGATAAGTTCCATTGGAGCAGCCTTTCAAAGCCTCTCTCTGTCTCTCGCAGGCAAAGTTGACCCAGACAACAAAGTAAAGCTAGTTTTCAGTTACGAGCCCGACACGGGACCTGACATATTAGCCAGACGTCCATTTACTACGGTTCGGAGCCGCGGACCTGTTTTATATACGTGCAGAATAGTTTTGTACACGAGATCGCTGCTAAAAGTGCAGCCTTACCTAATGTCCACCCTACTGCTCATTTTGTATTAAGATTTAAAAATCTAGTTGTTATTGGTATGGCGAGTAACCTTCAGTAATAGCAATAAATCACACAGCAATAGTACATTCATGCAGTTGTAAAAAGCTTGATAAAATATTGTAATCCAGAATTCAATTCAATTTTATTTATATAGCGCCAAATCACAACAAAAGTCGCCTCAAGGCCAGAGTATTCAGAATATGTTACTCTCATTGAATAATGTAACGGAATACGTTACAAAATATATTTTGTGGCATGTAATCTGTAGTGGAATACATTTTAAAAGTAACCTTCCCAAAACTGGTCTTGAGCCATCCCTCATTTCTCTGTATAGGAAATAGATGAAGCAATTCATTGACTTATGTGAGCTTTCTGGTTATTTCTTTATGTACGCTTCGGGAATAGCTCTCCAGGCTTCTTGAAGGACATTCAGAGCTCTTCTTTGGATGTTGGCTGCCTTTTCTTCTGTTCTCTGTCAACATGATCCCACACTGCTTCAATAACTCTGGGGAAGGCCAATCCATGACTGATAGTGTGTCATTGTGTATTTTTCTATCCAGGCATGCTTTTACTGCGTTGACAGTGTGATCATTGTCATGCTGAGAAATAAGGCCACTGCCAAGGTGTTTCCAGATGATATCTCATGGTGGCTCAATATCTAGCTGTACTTTTTCTTCTGCTTTCACAATTCCATCAATTCTGAAAAACATCCCCAGCAACACTGGCTCAAATGCAGCCCCAAGACATGACAGAGCCTCCACTGTGTTTTAAAGAAAGCGTGAGACGCTCACTGTTTTAACTCTCTCCTGAGCTCTATTCACTTGGCATACCTCAGTCCTTTTTTCCCCAATGGAACAAGTTCTGTGTTTTTGCAACAGGCTGCTAGTAACAAAAAGTGCCTTCGGTTCTGAACCAAACTGGTTCCTTGTCTATGTGTAGACGCAACACTGGTTCATCCCTTACATTGGGTGCCGTTTCATGCTTGAATGATTCATAGGTCAGTGTTTAGTGTCTTAAAACACAAACAAAAAACAGCATTCCTCTAAAAATGGTCAAGTGCGAGAACTGGACTGAAAATGAGTGAAAAACCATTCAAAGTTTAAAGGAAAAACTTTGGAAAGCCTCAGCCAAAAAAACTTGGAGAACTGTTGCTCAAGACCACTTTAAAAAGAATATAAGTCCATCTCTTTAGAAGCAAAATATGAAAAACAAGGGGAAGCTCAAGAGTTTTGTACAGTAGTGTGTTAAATCTTTGCTCATGTCTTTAATTGTGCCTGTTCATTTATCCATGTGCGTGTCACATCTCATCCACTGCTGGTTACATTTTGCTAAATATTGTGAGTGACTCATCTCTGTGCTGCTTTTTAGTAATTTCAAAATTGCCCTCACTGGCACAAAGCACAGCATACCGTACAATTACAGGTCGAGACATGCTGACATACTTACATGCTCTTACTGGCCCAAACCTAGAGCGCCTAATCTGTCTGGGGATGTTGTGTTTACTGTTTGATTGTTTCTGCCCTCAACCAAATTCTGTTGCCAAGCCCTTCCATCCAGATTTGCTTAGTCGCTGTGATTATGTTTGTCACCAGGCAACATTAGCTCAGTAAAACAGTTATGTAAGAGATGCAGGATTGCCACTTAACTGTTTACAGAAGACTCATTCAGAATTACTGTCATTTTTTTCGTGATTTGAAAAAAAGAAGCTATGTTGTAGCATTTAGCTCAGATGTCTTTTCAAAAAGATTTTTAAATGCTGCTTACTTTCTATAAGACAGTTGGAGTAGAAAAGGTGCTCTGCCTGCTTTTTTTCATCGTCTTATCTTTTGTAAAATAAACAAACAGCCAAGGAGATCTCAATGAATCATATTTAGACTCATATCCTTGTTTATTACACCTCATAGTTAGAATTACAAGCCAAGGGCTGTTTGTCTGTGTAGCGCTTTTCCAACATAGAGGACATTCACAGTGCTTGGCAAACCGCAAAGAGAAACCGAAAAGAATTAAACAAATCTAGACTTTAAAACAAAAAATATATATGTTTTCAGTGCATTCACAGCTGATTTGAATGAATGAAAGGCACTTGAATGCCAGAGTAAACTGGAGATTGGGTAAGGCTACTTTGCCGCATGATTTTGAAGGTAGTTTATCTCTTATTTTTTTGATTCCTGAGACTTTTTGCCTTTAAAAAAGACCTGTGTTTAATTATCCATTAAATGACATTTATTACAGTTTTGTAACAAGGTTTTTATGCTTGCAGGGGAAGATAAAAAACACAGTGTATGGCTGCTTTACCACTGGTTGGAGAACTGGGTTTTGTTTTTGTTGTAGCATTAGCGCAGCGAGCTGCACTCTGTGCTCCACCTGTGTTTGAACTCTCCTTCATACATAATCCATTTTAGCTCAGAAAGTCATTGAGATAAAGCACAGTGGGTGAAAAGTTCATCCAGTTGCATTACTGTAATAACCAGGATTCAAAGCCTTCCTGTATCCAGTAGGGTTGTGTAAGGTGTGTGTTAGGTGTGTGTAAGAGCTAACTAGGTTTTGTCTTTTAGTACATTTGAGAACCTTCTGTATGACTACACAGGTCTGACGGTCTCTAGGAAAAGCTAAAACCATGACAAAATACTGGGTTATCCAGCATTTCCCAAGTATATGGAATCATGTTTTCACCCAATTCTGTATTTAACTCTTTTCCTTCTTGGAGATGCACAAACATGGAGCAGGCTTTTGTGCTGAGTTTTGTCAGAGTTAAGTTTAAGCCCTGCAGATATTAATGTAGAAATTAAGCGAATGTATCATAATTGTACTGTACATTGTTATAAAAGTACACATGTATTGCAATACACTTATGTATATCTGAACAAACAATTTTAGAAATGTAAAAGTGACCTCACATATATTTTGCGAAGCTATGAAGAAAAGACAACAGTGCACTGAAAAATCACACTGACACGCACGCACACACACACACACACACACACACACACACACACACACACACACACACACACACAGAACAGCAAAGACATCAGCTATTGATCTTTTGTTTCTTTCAGTTCTGTGTTGAGTACAGTCAGATCTCTTCAGGCAATGTTGCTGCTTTAAGCCTGTTTGTTGTACACTGACTGTGTGTCTGTACTTTAGAAAAGCTGCCTGTGTACCCACAGGGTTTCCAAATTTGTCATCCTTACTCTTCAGCCAAGTTTTCAGGTGGATTTTAGATGATCAAATCGATTTTACAGCTGATTGAACTTCTTTCCGGCAATGCTGCCAAACAGGAAATGAGGTCATATCATAGCAACTGTGTCATTTATTTTGACACCAAACCAAATAATTTGATTATACCAAAAAAAAAAAAAAAAAAGTAATTTGACCACTGGGAGGTGCTACAATAAGCAAAAACATGTTTGTTCTTTCAGTCCACAAAGTCACGCTTTTAACATGACCAGATTAAGTTGCCATGGCGACTGAGCCCTGCTGAATCACTTGGACCCCTCTTTGGTGCATGCAGCTATGTTACACTTGAGAATTTTTAGAACAGGTTCAGTAACATCAGTGGCCACTGATGAGATAAAAATGCCGGTTTCCTTCGAATATTTTGTTGTTTCACTCTTGCCTGATCATGTAGACGAGCAGACTTGCTGTTTCATAACTCCCCCGAGGGTCTTTTATCCATATTTTTTGTTGGTTTTTTGGAATTGCAGTTTTGAGGCTGTTACTGACTGCTGTTGGAAGTTGGGGTTTTTTGTCATATAAAAACTTTTAAAAAGTAGAATTAAGCGTTTCATCATTTATATCAGAAGCCGATATGAAGTTCATAATGTCTAATGTGAGTTCTCACATTAACACAAAACCTCCGACATTGTCAGTCGCACCCATGCTGAGCAGTGTCTTCATTTTAATGGTGACACCTCTGGAAATTACACCTGGTGGCCCCTCTCATAAATGGGCTCGGATGACACTGCGCTCGAATGTACGGGAACAAATACGCCACAATTACTGCCACTGTTGGAGGGTGGTCAAAAGAAAAGTATGTCGCACTGTGATCTCACTGCCCACACATTCCCGTCCTGAATCGGAAAGCTAGTTTCTTGTACTCTCTGTGTGAGTAAGTGTGTTTATGCAACCGTGTGAGAGAGAGAACAAGAGAGAGTGCGTGCCAGACACAGAGACTGTAGTGTTTTCAGTTCGTGCAGCAGATTTTGCTACGATAATCAGCTGGATTGTTTTGCTCGCCCAACATCTGTCTCAAACACACACAAACACAACCATTATATAGCCATTACTGTCAGGCTGATGCTGTGCAGCCCTCTCTGACATGCTCTTTCTCTCTTATACATCTCCTTCCTCCTTTCTTTGTCTTGTTCCTATCCTCTCCTGTCTTCTCTTCTTCCTCCAGACGGTTTCGATCTTGGAGCAGCGGCTGACGCTGACGGAGGATAAGCTCAAGGAGTGTTTGGAGAACCAAATGGAAATCGGTCTACATCTCCAGAGAAGCGAGGAGGCTTAACGTTAGTGGTACCAGAGACACATTGATCTGTGTTGTTGGAGGGGGGAAGTGTGGTTGCATCAACACCATACACCGTTGCCATTTGATCACACTGAAAGCAAGGACTGAACCTTAAATGCACACTGAGCCTTCCCGCTGATGTACTGTGTCTGGCTGTGTTGAAAAGAGATATGAGAAGTGAAGGGGTTGAATATTAGAAAAGTTTCAGTACAGCAGTGCTGAGCATGCAGTCGCTTTCCTGCTGACAAAAAGACCCCACTTTACCACTGTGACACACTGTGTGCGATTGAGCGTAATGGCTGCCTGTACAGGTGTTGACACTTGTGCACAGTGTGTATGTTTTTACCCAGTCTATACTGTGCAGGAGGCCATTAGCCACTGGGGTTTGTTTTTTTTCACTGAAAAGTGCATATTTGTGTAACCATCAGTCATATTTGTCATTTTTGAAAGGAAGGATATGGCTCAATGATCCTGTTGCGTTAAGACAGTTACTCAAGACGTTTGTTCTCTGGTAACGTTTACAGAGCCCCCACAGTGCCTTTATTTAGTTTAAGGTGAGAGAATGTTTCCAGCTGACAAGCTTGAGGCCATTTTTATTACTATTTCTATTTTAATTACACAATGCATCTGGTGATAGGTTTTGTTTTTTGTTTTTTTTACTGAAATTACCATTCTTTAGTGCCTCCAGCAAGTACTGAAAGATAACAGGTTGTTGATTTTCATGGTGACTATAAATGATGCCAGACCTCATATTTTATGTTAAAGTAATGCTGCTTTTTACATTGGTTCTTTTTGTTCTGTCAATAAAACTTTTATCCACTGAAAACAGACTTTTAATAAATGTTTTCACTTCTCAAGTGTGGCGTGAAAGCCAAAGTTAGGTGATGAAATATTTCTGGTTCCCTTTTCGTTATAATGAGTACCATTTTTATAGCTTTGTAGAAAAAAAAAAATGTAACAGGCTATTACTAAGAGACTGGTCATTTTCTCGTTGGGAGAGCTAAAGTTACTGCCAGAGAAGTCATGACTTCCCTGTCTTTGTTGTGCTGAACAGAAATGTGAGGATCATGAGCTGTGAGCGGTGTCATCCATTGCTCATGGCGAGTAATTATCAACCCGTTCTTTACCACAGTTTGAGCGATGATTAATTTTTTTTAAAGTATGGGGGTGAATGCTCCTTCCCCGCTTGTGTCCAAAATTCTTCGGTTCCCCCCCCCCGAGTATTTTACGTAACCTGAGCGCTGATGCTGGATCAGTATTTTTATTTTTAGATGCTTCATTGAAAATGTGCCCGAGGCTGCGCACACTGTGATTTTTCAAAGAACAGATCCATGGTTTTTTTTTTGTGTGTGTGTGTGTGTGTGTGTTGTGTGTGTGTGTGTGTGTGTGTGTGTAGTTTATCTGCTTTTTTGTTGTTGTTTTTTTTTTTAATTCAACAAACTGGAAATATGATTATATACAGTAATGAGTCATCTCGAGGTCGTTGTGGAGGACTCATGGCTGTGCCATTGAGAAGGGAAAATATTAATGCCTGTTTCTTTAAGACCCGGCTCGGGCTCTGCACTAATGGAAAAAGAAGAAAAACAAAACCGGAATTCTGGAGCTGCAATGCCGGGCCCACTCTCTTCCTTCCTGTCTGGGGCCCGGGGACACACATATATATGCACACACACACATGCTCAGACATACGCACTCTCAGAGAGACTCTCCAGCCAGAGAAAACAACTCCCTTTACTATGGGCCTCAACCAGACAGCCTGCCAGGAGCACCAGTGCGAGAGAGGAGGGGCTAAAAGAGTGGGTTCAATAACTGCTATGCTTCAGTGTGTGTGTGTGTGTGTGTGTGTGTGTAGGAGGGGGTTGGTGAGCCTATGAGGAGAACATCTGGATATGTTTTTCCTGGTGTGCTGTGGTTGCCGCCGCTCTTTGTGTGTATGTGTCAGTGTGTGTTTTAGTGCTTTACTAGTTCAGCGTGTCACGTCTTTACATTGTCCTGTTCCTCGAGGCTTTCTTTTTCCTCAAACATCGCATTATATTCTGACAGATTTATGATGTAGAAATGATAACCAATGGGCTCAGACTGCCAAATGTTTCTGCCCTCTTAGAGCAGGTGGAGAATTTCCCGCCACACAAATTATGCAAACTATCTAAAACCATTTGGTATTCTTAGAACTACAATATGTTGCATGTATCCTAAACATTGAAATAGTCATTTCCCCAGCATAGTGGTCACTGCTTAATGAGCTGATGGGGAACTGGAGGTTTGTAGTTCCAGGAAATAAAAGAGAGGTTGTCTGAGGATCTAAAATACTCAGAACAGATGTGAGGAAGTAAAATAACACAGAAGAGCCCAGCATTCTGGAAACTATAGGTTGTGTAATGTGCAAAAGTTTCCAGGGAATTAGGTGCATTGTACATTTTTACCAGCCCAGTGAGACACATGCAGGGGGTTCACAGAATAATATCGAAATGCTTGGTAAAAACAAACATTAATTACAGTTTCTAATTTATAAAAGAAACCTTAAAAAAGCACTTGATATTTTCCAAAGATGTATAACCTAATAACAAAGCTTTCTTTATTTCTTTCTAACCTGGAATGCTAAAAAAAAGAAAATCTACAAAAATATTATATCAAAGGGGTTGTGTAGTATGTCAGACAGTGTAAAATGCCTGTAATTTGACTGCAACCTAATTATGCCCCACTTTGAAGCAGCGATTGAATCAGTGATCAGCCCTTTTCTGATAAATGGGTTACCACAGTGTTTAAAGCTGAGACAGAACCCCTCGACTGAAAGTAAGACCACTCTCACTGACATCATAAACCGTTAATACACTTAAATAAGCTTCAAGAACAAAGAGCAGAGATGCTAACCACATTTGACTTATTTTAAGACTGGATGGGAGGGAGGGCCTTTAGCTGCTCTGCCCCTCGACTTTGGAATTCCCTACCCCCGGACCTCAGAAATATTAGTTCATTCTCTCTTTTTAAGTCCACCCTCAAAACTCATCTGTTTAAAATTGCCTATTCTTAAATTTCTGTATGTTTTAACTTTTATCTTCTATTTTTATCATTGTGTATATTTCCAGTTTTTATCTGTTGTACAGTGTCCTTGGGTGCTTTGAAAGGCGCTATTTAAATAAAATGTATTATTATTAGGGCACGGTGGCACGGTGGTTAGCACTGTTGCCGCACAGCAAGAAGGTCCTGAGTTCAATTCCACCATCAGGCCGGGGTCTTTCTGTGTGGAGTTTGCATGTTCTCCCCGTGTTTGCGTGGGTTCTCTCCGGGTACTCCGGCTTCCTCCCACCGTCCAAAGACATGCAGCTTGTGGGGATAGGTTAATTGATTAATCCAAATTGTCACTAGGTGTGAATGTGAGTGTGAATGGTTGTCTGTCCCTTGTGTTAGCCCTGCGACAGACTGGCGACCTGTCCAGGGTGTACCCCGCCTTTCGCCCTATGACAGCTGGGATAGGCTCCAGCGCCCCCCGCGACCCTGAAAAGGATAAGCGGAAGCGAATGGATGGATGTAGTGTTATTATTATTATTATTATTATTATGTGTTTTGGAGGTTAAAGTTTCCACTGTTTTTATACCATATACTTTTATTTCATTTTTTTTTTATTGGGATTACTTACAGCGCTTAGGAAATGTATTTTTATTTTATTTATGATATTTTCTTAGGCCACTTAAAGCAAAAAAAAAACTTCAAAAATCAGTTTAAAGCTGGAAATCATGTTGTTTTTTTTAATTCTGGAAATAAAGAACAAAATTCACGTTTCTATTGCCCAAGATTTGAGCTGGCACACTGGACTTCTCTGGGGATTTGGAAATTGATCAAGCACAACATTCAAACACTCTGTTCGGGAATACAAGTAAATAACTGTAATTTTGCTTCTTGATCAAAAAATAATACAGTGGAACCCCGACTTACGAAATTAATTAGTTCCAGAGGGTCTTTCGTAAGTCAAAATTTTAAGTAAGTCAAAGCACCTTTTTCCATCGCCTTTTGAGCGAGGCGATGCTGGCTGAAGACGAAGTTCTTGGTGGAGGCTGAAGAAAGCATACATAGGCATGCATACATACATACGTGTACATGTACATAACATTATGGAATTTAATTCTAAACATTAAAACTAAACTTACATTTACATTAATTAATGTACGTACGTACACTGTGCAATGATATTTTAACAATTTTTTAAACTCGCTAATATTTATGCCTTATGCCGGCCCCATTATGAATGAACGATAGGCTAATTGCAAACGAAAAGCACACGAAATAGCACACTGCAACAACAATACGTCTTTCACGTGGAACAGCGAAATGCATTTCGCAAACGGATTTCGTTACACTGGCATTTTGTTGTACCACGGGCAAAAATATTGCCGTTAAGTGCCTTCGTAACTTGAATTTTTCATTACATGGGGTCTTTGTAAGCCGGGGTTCCACTGTAATTTTCTTTTTTGTAAAACCGTAACTTTGGAAGTTTATGGATAACAGCAGTAATTATGTTTCAACATTCAAAATATACTTTTCATTTTGGAGCTTGTAATAGTTGTGGATTAACCAATACAGAAACATAAAAAAACATTTTTTAAGTGCCAAAGTGGTACATTGGTTGGTCGTCTAATAAATTTGTTCAGCACTCTGCTAGTTTCAGAAACATCACTTATTCTATGTATTGCCGGCCTTTATTTAAAAAAAACAAAACATTATAGTTCTGTTTTTTAGGGGAATACACAGTACAGATCTACAGTTTGGGAAAGTTTCTCTTCCAAGAGAGGTGATTTCCCACCTCTGCTACCTGTTTCCTTGGAGAAACGATGATTAGTACATTTATCAGAAGTGCTTTTGTGATTATAGAATTGCTGTTTTTCCTTTTCCTTAGATTAGATTTGTAGTAACTGTCTCTATCTGTTTCTCAATCATCTGAAAATGAAAGTCAGACATTCAAATAATTTTTATTTAAATGTAACACTATAAATATTTTGATAATCTGAAAGGATGCGCTGTTTATTCTTTCTAGAATTTTGTCCATAAATTCTTTTTTTATCGGTTGTATGTGGATAAAAGACAAAAATTGTTAAAGGAAAGCTATTACTTCTACCAGAGTAGATATACATGAGCCACAGTTCAAATTAACAGTTTTAGATCACTTCTCTAAGCCAGCTTTCTCTAGTTTGGTTTGAAAGACGAGGTTTGAACAGCAGATGGGCAGGGCTTCTGTACACATGACCACTAATTGTGTGATGTCAACTTGTCTGCCGTTTTAGACATGTAACAACCATGGTGACAATGTACGAAAGCGTGAAAAAGGCTGGAGTCACTCAAGCTGTGACACAGTGGTCTGCAACCATCTCACAACTAGCCAGCAATAGGGAAACAAACGTGCATTCCCCAATTGGTATAATCAGGTAGTTGCTGGAGGCTGATGGCAATTGCTGGGAAAATGATTGCTCAAGTCAAAGTCATTCAGGTCTACAGACAATCAGTGACTCCCTAGCAACCACCTATCACTATGGAAAAATGTGTATTTCCCCAACTGGTTGGCAAAAACTTCCTTGTGATTGCTTTGTTCTCTAACAATTGCTGCAGACATATAGTGCTGTGAAAACGTATTATCCCCCTTTGCTAATTTGTTATTGCATGTTTCAGATCATCAAACTAATTTTAATATTATTCAAAGATAAGCCGAATAATTATGAAATGCAGTTTTCGAATTATGATTTTATTTAATAAGCGAAAAAAGTTATCCACACCTAGCTTGACCTTTGTTTTAAAAAAAGGTTATCCCTTGCTAAACCTAGTAACTTCCAGTTCTTGATCGCAACTTAAGCATCAAGAACTGCAGTCAAGTATTTGCAATAACTGGAAATGAGACTCAATCATCTCAATCGTCTAAAACTAAGAAAATTCCAAATGGAGACTGTTTGTACTCAGAGTAAAACTTGCCCCTCATGTTGGCTGCAGGATGGAGGCACAATTTTTACTTGCAAACCAGCTTCCTGCTTGTGTTGCACTTTTCCCGCATTTTCCTACCTCTGGGCTAGTAGTTGGCAAGTATTTGTTGACAAACATGAAAACCTACTGACAACCATGACAGTCTGCTAGCAATCGAAGACATTGCTAGGAGGCTTTTGGTGCTTTTCAGCTTTCATGCAATGATTTCACCCAGCAACGGCGAAAAACGTCAAAGAACCACTGCCGGTAAGTTGAGGAATACACGTTTTCCTAGCAAACAGTGGTTGCAACCAACACTGATTGTACATATGCTGACAT